CTGCACTGACGCTTGGTGGTGATCAGCTAGAAGTCGTTCAATGAGCTAACGCGTAATGATGATGATGATGACGAGATGTCGTCCAGGAATTCAAGTACCTGGGCAGCTATATTATCGTCCGTGGGATCGAAGATGTGATTACGAACCGTATAGGAAAAGTTCGAGGTGCTTTTGCTAATCTCCGCCCCCTGTGGCGCAGACACAACATCACTCACCTTGAAGTGCGGAGCTTATAACACAGCCGTCCGTTCAACTCTCTTGTATGGTTGTGAAAACTGGCCCATCAGGTCGAGAGACATAAAGAGGCTAGCCCCGTCCCATCATCGCTGCCTTCGCAGCTTAGCTCATGTCTGGTGGGAGCACTGGATGATCAATGCGCGTGTTCGACGTCGCGTATTTGGTACAGGAAGAGGTAGTGAACCAGTCAGCACCATTATATCACGCATCATACACCGATAGCTCTGCCAGCTGTTGCACATGTCAGCACGTCGACTCCCACGACGTACACTGTTTGCGCGCCGGCGGTGCGGTTGGAAGAGGAGAGGAGGAGACCAAGCGATAACTGGGTCGAGAAAAGGAGAACCCTTACTTCGAAGTTGGCGTCGGTTGGTGCATTCCGACAGCTTGACTGGGATCCTAAGGACGATGAACACGTTTGGTTGGACACGCTAGCGACGAGACTGGACCTTAACGTGGTGCGACGGTTTGCGTACCTCATTGACCCATTGAGTTATACTGGCTGATGCCTCCGGGCACCTTGGGAGCTACTCCTAACAGGCTGGTCAATGGTGTGAGGTCAGACAAACTCAGTCTCCTGGTCCTTCAAGTTGGAGGTTTGAAATGGCATGGCGTCCATTTCTGTAAGACTAAATCATTGCCACCTCCCCGTAGCCTTGCGGACAGGCTTTTGAGCCAAAGGCTTTGGATGAGGACCCTAATCATCCTCCTTCTAGGTCTGGGTGCCCTGGCAGTATCTCAGCCCACACACAACCATGACATCTTCTTCAAACATAAACTCCATCCTGCATCGGCCGTCGCGCAGATTATCAAGGGTTGCTTTATCTGCTGCATACAGCAGGACGGATAAGCGAAAACATGCTACTGCTGGCGCCTCCCTTCTTTCTTTTCCACCTTTTTCTCGAACTCCCATCCCGGCCCCCATTATTAACCCTCCTTCTATAATTCCCCTTATAAGGCCACGCTATCCCGTTTCAATGGCGACACTCAATGTTCGCACTCTAAGACAAACAGGTCAACAGGCTGCACTCGCACGCACCTTGGACACACTGGGTATTGATGTGTGTTGTGGGTCCGAAACTAAGATCAACGACCCTAACGGGATTATTGAATTGACTGCACCCGGCTTATCCTCTCGTTATTGGTTGCACGCATCCGGAGACGCCGACGCAGCACTAGCTGGTGTAGGTATCATTCTAAGCTCCAAGGCTGAGCCATCGTTGGTTGATTGGATGCCGGTGAACAGCCGTTTATGTGCAGCCCGTTTGACGATATCAGCTAAGGTTGATTCACAAATTAGTAAAAAACGCTGTTTGTTCGTGATTTCCGTTTATGCTGCCACCGCCTGCTGTTCAAATACTGTCAAGGACACATACTATCATGAACTGAATGCGCTATTACGCAGTGCTACTAGTTCATATATTATGGTACTTGCAAGGGATATGAACGCACAAGTAGGGCGTCTGAGCTCTTCAGAAGCTCAGCTAGGTGGTAAATGTGGGCTTAACTTCGAACGGACTGACAACGTTGAGCGTCTGCTGCAACTGTGTGCGGAGCACCAGTTGTTTCTTAGTAGAACTGCTTTTAGACACATTGGGCGCCAAAGTGCCACTTGGTGTTCTCCTATTGCTGACCAGCGATGGACCCAAATTGATCACATTGCCATAAGTTACAGATGGCATGGTTCCATCCTGGATTGCCGCTCATACTGGAGTACCTGTGTCGACTCTGATCATACCTTGGTACGCTGTGGTTTCTCCATGAACTTTACCGGGAGGCGCACCAAGCGTCCCCTACGATTGGCAACTGAGAAATTGTCTCAGCCCACGGTCAGGCAAGCCTATCAAGACTCACTGCATACTGAACTTCCGCAGTCTGGTCCTAATGACGCTGAGCTTCAGTGGAATAGGATGTCGGCCGCCATGCACGACGCAGAAGCATCTGCTTGTGGCACTATCCGTCGTCTCAGCACCAGTCACTGGATATCCGAGAGGTCGTTGAACCTGTTGGAATTTTAGAAGACACCTCCCGGCTGGCTCTTAACACAGTGTGACCAGACGGGCTATTATGCGGGAAGTAAAGCAGAGCCTGCGTGCTGACAAGAAAGCCTGGTGGACCAGTGAGGCTCAAGAAATGGAGGAGGCAGGGGAAGTAGGCAATTACCGCAAGTTCTTCCAGCTTATCCGCACCACTGTTCCCAGAAAACCAGGTGTCAGTGAGACAATCAGATACAGCGCAGGATGCACAAATTCACACTCTGGAGCACCGTATGGTTCGTTGGGCGGAACACTTTCAAGATCATTTCAGCTGACCTCCTGCTCCCGGACATCTTCCTACTCAGGTGATGCAGGACGAGCCATGAACGGTTAGTTTAGAGCCTCCATCGGAGGCCGAGGTCCGAAACGCGCTCACAGCCCTTAATCGTTTTCGTGCCGCTGGCCCGGATTCCCTCTCACCTGCACTATTTAAGGATGAAGGTGAGGTCCTCTGCAGGACACTGACCTCCCTATTCGAACGTATCTGGAATGAAGTGAATGTGCCGGCTAATTGGAGCGAATCGATTATGGTGGCAATATACAAGAAGGGCAGTCGCACAGACAGTTCTAACCACAGGGGTATGAGCCTAACGCCAGTTGTGACAAAAGTATTGACTTCGATTATCGTTCATCACTGCGGAACGGGAATCTCGGACTAGAGAAGAGCCGGCCGGTTTCCGCCTAGGACGTGGCTGTATAGACTATATATTCACACTGCGGCAAGTGCTAGAGCAATGCGGCGCATACCGCAGATCGACAATAGCTGTGTTCCTCGATTTCAAGAGTGCGTTCGATTCAGTCCATCGATTGATTCTGTTGGAAATACTTACACGGAAAGGTGTTTCCACGAAATATGTGAACATCCTTCGTGCTCTATACTCGAACACTAGAGGCCGCGTCCGGGTCTACGGTGTCCTATAGGTAGCTTTCCGACCACAAGTGGCGTTCGTCAGGGTTGTCCGATTTCCCCATTTTTGTTCAATTTCGTCGTGGATTCTATCATGGAGTGTTCCCTTACGGAATCTCACGACGTAGGCGTTGAAGTGCTGCCTGGTGAAAGATTAGTTGACCTAGCTTATGCGGACGATATCATGGTGCTTTTCGACGATTCTGCGACGGCACAATCAAGCCTGAATAGTCTGTCCAGAGTGGTCCCATTATTTGGTATGCACTTCGCACCTTCAAAGTGCAAAGTGTTGCTGCAGGACCACCAGCTACTTGATGACCCCTTGACGCTTGCTAACGAGGAACTCGAGGTGGTTGATCAATTCACTTATCTTGGCAGCTGCATCAGCAATGATGGGCGCATAGAAACTGACGTGAACTCACGCATTGCAAAGGCCAGAGCTGCCTTCTTGAACCTGCGTCATCTTTGGCGACAGAAGGGAGTTTCCTCCGTCTGAAAGGCCGTGTGCACAAGGCCACAGTGAGGGCCGTTCTGCTCTATGGTAGTGAAACTTGGCCCCTTCGGTCTGAAGATCTGAGGCTCCTTCAAGTCTTTGATTATCGTTGTTTGCGAAGCATTGCTGGTGTCGGATGGCACCAGCGTGTCCGCAACGATGATGTGCGTAGGCGAGTACTAGGGGGGGATGATCATGCTAGCTCCCTAGAACAACAGATAGCACTGAATAAGTTGCGTTGGCTCGGGCACGTGCTACGTATGCCTGGTCACCGCTTACCTAGGAGGGCCTTGTTTAGTCTGCCAGTTGTAGGGTGGCGCAAGGCTCGAGGTGGACAGAAGTTGACTTGGCAGCGGGAAATGAAGTCACTGGCGACCAAACTCTGTGCGGTTTGTCCTTCCTGCCTTCGGGGCTGGAGTCCACGTGACTCGCCTTATGCTTGGCTCGATACTTTCCAGGACATGACTCGCAGTAGACACCAGTGGCGCGTCTGCTGCAGTCTCCTAATCGGATTCCCTGTTTAAAGTGCTTTTGGTTCTGAGTTATCTTCGGGGTAATGGCTGATTATGACGCGGGACAGTGAAAGCCGCAAGGAAGCTGTCTCTCCGTTGCCGCCTTATCTTTGTACGATAGCCAGCTGTTTGTGACGGTATGTTGTTGACACAAGGTGTAGGCGCCTTGACCCAGAATGTTTGCTTGGTGTATTAAGGTTTTCAGGTAAGTCCCCCTTCTCTCCCTCTTCTTATTCTTTATTTCATAGGTCCTCATGGTTGTATGGCAGCGAAGCATCAGTTGAAACGACTGATGTACTGCTGTTGATGATAATGATAATGATATGGCTAGGAGCCGGCCCCAATGACGTTTGTGTTTTGAGTTTCTATCCATGCCCTCCTGCTTAGCCTCCCGTCCAATCATGATCTCATTCGCTAGACATAATATAAGACACTTTTTACGGCACGATAGCCGACTGTTAGTTCTCTGAAACCATGGTCCTCCGTTACTGGGGATTCAGTTGGTGTGCCACTTTCGTACATCTTTTTCTTCTTGTCTTTACTATTGCGGCACAATAGCTGAGGCGTTTTTCCACCTGCAGTTAACCTGTATAATGAGTGACAAATCTTAACTACATGAAACCTAAATTACTTCGCTTTGTTGCTACAGATGTCATTGACAAAACACAAACGCCGACTAATTAGTTCAGATGCCATATCTATTAAAGCAATTTACTCGTTAGTAGTAAAAGGGGTACCACCTGTGTCAATTAAAAGTAGTTTATGGTTCTTTGGTCGGTATTTGCGACGAACAATCTTCTCGTTATTCAACTCACCTTGTCTTTCTGATACCGCCGAAGTGAATCGTCTTGCACTACCACTGGGAAGCTTAAACATGCGCATCACATCATCAATACGCGCGTAGCGTTCCGTATCTTCTACTTCCGTCGGGCTATCCGCCGTTTCCAGGCTGGCAGAATCATCTTCCAGTGTCCCGGTCCACATATTGAGCCTACTGGTAAACATTCAGCACTACAAAACCGTGTTTTTAGTTAAGTCATTTTAAGTTGGGTAAAACCGGTAAAGGAACACCGCGCACAGTAGAATCGGGCACCCATCAACGTCGTGAAGGTGAATCAATTAAATGATCACGTGCTTCACATGTCACAACGCGCAGATTGATCTCACCTTCAGCTGATGCATTTTATACTCTCCTAAAAAAAATTCCGGTAAGGAGGAATAAGTCAACACAAGAGCTAAAAGCGTTTAAAACGCTGGTAAACTTTAGGATTTAATGGACTGAGACGGCCACATCATTTGGAATCTACGGCGAGTATCTTGGAAAGGCTAGAATAATCAAGACATCCAATTTTATGATGATATACATGCGTATGTTTGCATCAGTCTATAAATAGACATTGATCAACCGAAAACCAATGACGAACAAAATAAAAATGTCCAAATGTCGAGCACAGAAAACAACTATTTTGCACTTTCCGCTAGTTGGTTTCTGGTTGTTTGTTTTCACAACCCATTTTGTTTTTTCTGGCCTTTGAATGCTATAGTTCTAAGCGCATTCTTCAAACATTTAAATGTTCAGTCTTTTCATTACTTCCGGTTTCGGGCCATATCGCCAAGTGTGTCAAGCCATTGGCAGTCCTCATCCTTGGGCCTCCAACCAGAAAGACTTACAGGGCCGACAATAGCGAAACAAAAGGTAAGCAGTTTCATGGTTTGATGTCATAGTTTTAATGCCTCATCCAATTCAATGCCGTGTGAGCAAATAAGGGGTGGCAAACGTGAGGTGGCAAACGCTGGCAGGACATACGCAGAACGTGGGCAGGCCACCTCAACCGATGCATTGTGAGACAGCGAGCATACGGACGGCTCATGTTTCCCAAGATGCGACACCGGACTTCATCGTTTCTAACCCAGTGCTTCCACCACACACTGGCTACCCATGGCGGAGTTGTATGCTATCGGGCGCGTCCCGAGGTTGCGGAACGGGAATGCCTTCCTTGTGGAGGCAACTGCTAATAAGTTTTGTCTGCTTTGCAGGCGAGATGAATAATCAGTCGCGGACAATGAGCGGCAGCGCCTCATAGCGTGGGAGGGTTCTGGGCTGGTCACCTGGTTCTCCATCAAATACCACAAGAGCATCTAGGAGCTTCGAACCTAAAGTACAGTGTCCAAAGGAGCCAATGTGAACCGTCTAAGGTGGGTCAACCAGACCCATATTCTACGTATACACTTATCTGTAACTGTATGAGTATGTCCAAAAACCACTTCTTGGTGGCTTCATACCCACCAATGCTGTACCCCCCCCCGTGCCGAACTCATTAGGGCAGTTCAAACGTAACACAAAGCGAGCGAATGAGAGCCCACCCAAGCTTGTCAAACAATCTACTTATTCAAATATTTCCTCCTCGCTTGGTCTTGCGAGTATCAAGGTCTTTTCCAAGACAAAAGCTCGATAAGGAGTCCCATAAGTCAACCCTGTATCCTCCTTCCATCCTTTCCCCTTTCCTCGTCGGGCGGCCCCTGGTGGGCAACCGGGGAGCTCTCCTCCATGCTCTCCCTCTCTGCTCTGCTCTCTTCTCTGTGGCTCTCTAACTCGTGCTCTCCCTTCCCACACAACAAAAGGATCAACGCATACCCATTCTTACTCACTCTGTCAATCTCTTCTCCTCCAGACACATTACACTTCGCCTTTTTTTTGCTGTTTTCCACCACACCCCATACACATTTCATGTTTGTGGTACTCCTTTGTGTTTGCCAAATGTTTATTGCTTGTGTTATATATATATATATTATATATATATATATATATATATATATATATAATATATATATATATATAAATAGCTATCCAACGCAAATATATGTTGTCGTCGAAGGACGAAAACTACGCTACGCATTTACTTTCCAACACCACACCACAACACCCAATCGGCGGTAATCGGCGGACTCGGCCAGGACTTCACTCTACCTCCGTACAACAAGAAGACCGCAAGGACACAAGAGATGTTAGAACCAAGACACCCTTTCAGGATAGGCTATGTCTCGCGCCAAGCGCAAACAAAATGACCGACTGCAGTTTTGGTTACATGGTGACCGAGCACTGCTGGTCTGGGCGATGGCGAAAGAGATACTTACTTTCCTCCTTTCCCAAGAGGCAGAAATACAACAGCCTGATGTGATAGATAAAGTGGGGCCCACCAGCTTTAAGCTCTGTTCCTTCCTTTAAGGTAAATGACTGGGGGTGGAGAACGACTTTCCGGTCCTGTACAGCCCTTTAAAAAGTCTAAGTTATATAAGCCCCTTTAAAACTTAAAACGGAGAAAAAGCTTATGCAATAAACTTAAGGAAGGAGTGCTTTCAAATTGCCAGGGGCAAATAGCCAGAAGGTGAGGAGGGGCGATTCAAAAAGAGCTGTAAAATGATCTGATGAAGCCACGCGCGGCGATTTGCTAGGAGGAAGCTCACACCAACCCACAAAAAAACAACCATGATTTTGAGAGCCTGACAGAAATCTCAACAGGTTGTGTCTCCTCAATTAACAGAAAACACAGTTGAAGAGGGAATGGGGGGACAAAGGGGAAGGGCCGGGCGGGCGGGGGCGGGGGGGAGGTGGCGGGAAAGGGCGGGGGGGGCGGGCGGTGGGGTCCGTGCGCGCGCCCTTCTTCCTGGAGAAAGCAAAGGGTCAGAAAAAAAGGTTTGCCCATAGCCCCAGACCCTCCTCCACTCTGGATCTTCCACCTGAGACTTGGAGATAAATCGCCCGAAAGATGAAAGTGTACATTTCGGATTTCGCTGGGGGTTTCGTCGTTCGTCGGCGGGGACCCATTTCTTTGCAAACAGTGGGAAAAAAAGCAGGCAAGAGCATGGAGCATGAGGCACAGGGGCAAAGCAGGCCGCTCCATTGAGTCAAATGCGGATCTAATGTCCAGGAAAACGACAATGGTTGGACTGTGGAAGAGATGGTGGTGTTCAAGGATATGGCATTGTGTGAAGGTCTGGTCCACGCATCATCGACCGGGGCGAATGCCAGCTTGTTCTTCTCAGTAAAACTACTCACGGATCGGGGATAGTCTGCTGAGCAGAATAGGTGCCAGCAGTTTGGAATCAGCTGGCAAGAGACTGATTCCCCTGTGATTAGCACAGCACGTGCGAGCGCCTTACTTGAAAATGGGGACAATTACTGACTTATCCCAGGAGGACAGAATCTTCCCTTCGTTCCATATCTTGAAAAGTAGCGATTTCAACTGCTTAAGAAGTGCTGGGCCTGCGAAACCTGTATATCTCCAGAGAAACTTTGTCCGCGCCGGGATATTTGAATCAGATGAGGTGTCGAATCTCGAGGAAAACTTCCGCTTCATTAGGTGACTATTCCTGATGAAATGAACCCAAGAGGCAAGCATTTGGTTGTACTTGACATACAAGAGGACCATTCATTCGTATTCGGATTAAATTGTGGAGAGCACATCATCCTTCCGCACAACAATCGCCGCGGGGGCAACACAATCCTACGTGGCGGATTCGCCAATGTTTCGGTGGATTCGCGACGCTTTCGTCCGCGAAAACACCATTGGTTACATGAAACAGGCTCACGCTTGCCAATCAGACCTCCTAACGGCCGCCCGCCCACCTCTTACAGACCTCCTAACGGCGACATCTAGACGAAACGACGTCAAACTACGACGGGCCGGCGCGTGACACTTGAACGAGCAGGAAGCAGCTGGTGCGGAAATTATACCCGGAAAAGAGAGGGTGGTCTCCATCCCTCCGAGACCCTGCGCTGAGACTCCACCGGGACTCGCGGGTATGCATATACATTCTACACAAAGATTAAATTGAGATTCTGATTGGGAGTCAGAGGATGGGAGAAGTTAACTGGGGATGGGGTGCCAGTGAGATCTGTCCTGGGCAGGTGCTGGGACAGCTGGGGGTGGCTGTGGGTCTGGAGGTTCTGGTGCAGTCTAGGGGATCTGTGTCATGTGGCAGGCTGGGCCTGGTGGGGGGAGGGGGTGGTGGGCCTGGAGTGGGCTCGACTGGTAGTGTCTTGGTGTTCTGGGGTCTCTGGTGTTGGTGTGGGAGTCGGGGGGGTCCCGGCGTCTGAGGCTGGGTCTGGGGGTGGGGGGGGGGGGGGGGGGGGGGGGGTCGCGGGGGGGGGGGGGGGGGGGGGGGGGGGGGGGGGGGGGGGGGGTGGGGGGTGGGGGGGGGGGGGGGGTGGGGGGGGGGGGGGGGGGGGGGGGGCGGGGGGAGGGGGGGGGGGGGTGGGGGGTGGGGGGGGGGGGGGGGGGGGGGGGGGGGTGGGGAGGGGGGGGTGGGGGTGGGGGGGGTGGGGGGGGGGGGGGGGGGGGGGGCAGGGGGGTGGGTGGGGGGGGGGGGGGGGGGGGGGGGGGGGGGGGGGGGGTGGGGGGGGGGGGGGGTGGGTGCTGGGGTGGTGGGTGGGGGGTGGGGGGGGGGGGTGGGGGGCTGGGGGGGCTTGGGGGGGGGGGGGTGGGGGGGGGGGGACTGGGTGTGGGAAGTCTGGGGATGGGTGGTTGGGGGCACATAGAATTGTGGGCTGAATCTGGTGGCACATTTCGACGGTGGGCAAACCGTTCTAGAGAGCGAGCGGGTTGAAATCCAACATTTCAAATTGTGTTGGATCAGCCCACAAAGCGATTTGTCAGAGAAAAGCATTGCTTCGTGCAAACAAGCCTAATGTTGTTCAACATCCTGGGATGGACTACAGGTGAGGGAGTCCGATGATGCAGCTTGATAGCTCAGTTGGACAGAGAGGTCAACTAACCCATTTGTGTTGATCTTACTGTGCAGATATTTCCGGGGCCCGCTGAGGCGCACGCAGATGTTCGCACAAACCAGCGCGTGATCTGAGTCCTGGTAGGTTGACCAGAGTGACCTGTATTCTTGTATAATACCTCGCCAACGGAAACTGATTACGAAATGATCTACCTGGGAGCAGGACTGTGTTGACCGTGGAAAGCCCCAGGTTGTGGAAAGTCTCTTGTTATGTCTGAACTTGGTGATGGAGATAAACAGGTGGTTGTCCTCGCACAATGTGGGAAGTTGGTCTCCATTATTTGTGCATCTCTCGTCAAGTTCGTGTTGAACTACAAGGTGGCGTTCATATAGAAGCAGGCCACCGATCCGTGCATTAACATCGTCAGCAAGTATAACAACGTATCATTTGTCCACTTTACTCAAAAAGATGAAATTCCAGGTACAGATCCACTTTTACAGAGTCGCCACTTCAGTCAGTTTCGGCGTAGGCAAAAACAATAAGCAAGTTGCGTGTTTCTTTGCGATGCCTGTTGATACGACATGATTCATGAATCCGCACTGCGCAAAAGCCGACTGTATGAACTTATCAATCAGTCACCGGCTTCTAATGGTTACGATTCTCTGAGTTCGCTCCGCTGCATTGCGGGCAGGCTATTCGGACAAAGGCTCGGGGTGGTGTCCCCTAAGCCAACAGCCAACCTCGGTTTGGGTGACCGGGTAATATTGTGCCCTCTGACGAAACAATGGACTACTCCGTGTTGTGTTTTAGGATATAGGTACCTTTCTTTGTGTTCCATGGTTTTTAATGGGTCCATGTTTATTCGTACTGTCACTAGGATATATATATATATATATATATATATATATATATATATATATATATATATATATGACCGTGTACTGGTAACCTGTGTGACAACGCAGCTTCAGCTTTCTTAGTGCTCTCCAACGCCAACCAAACTTGCTGTAGCTGCTTCTGCGCCAGTGGACAGACGCAGTTGGTATATGGTTCCGCCAACAGAAGGGGAGGTCAGCCTGAGTACGCTACTGTGATTCTGCAACCGGGGAAAACCAACACCGGAGCTGCACAAAGGGATTCTCGTAACCGATCGAATGAATTTCGACACTCAACGGTCCATTCGAAGGTCTTACCTTTCTGTAACAAGGTATTCAAAGGCGCAGCGATCTCTGAGAACCCTTTCACGAATCGCCGATAGTATGAGGCTAACCCTAAAAAACTGCGTAGTTCATCAACGTTGGCAGGGGTTGGCCATAATCGCACTTGCTCCGTCTTACGAGGGTCAGTACGAATCCCCATCCCCGAAATGACGTGCCCAAGATACGTTACCTCGGTCTGTAGTAAATGGCACTTTGTGGGCTGGAGTTTGAGGCCCACATTTACTAGGCGTGTTAGCACCTCCGCCAAGTTGTTTAGGTGCTCTTCTTTTGTTTTTCCGTGTACAATGACATCGTCCAGGTAAACAAGACACTTGTGGGGCATCAGTTCGTGTAACACTTTCTTCATCAGTCGTTGAAAAGTCGCAGGGGCGTTAGAGAGGCCAAAAGGCATGGTCTGGAACTCATAAAAACCTGATGGTACTACAGACGCCGTTTTCGCTCTGTCGCTCTCCTCCACTTCTACTTGCCAGTAGCCAGAAGCCAAATCTAGCGTACTGAAATAAACTGATCCTCCCAATGCGTCAAATAGATCATCGATCCTGGGGAGGGGAAAAGCGTCTTTTCGAGTAATTTCATTTAATCGTCTATAGTCGACACATAGGCGAAAACCCCCATCCTTCTTTTTCACTAGAACAACCGGGGCTGCCCATGGTGAAGTCGAGCGCCGTATTACCTCCTTTTCTATCATGTCATCTATGAGCTTTTGCAATTCAGTCTGCCAATGTAATGGTATGCGTCTTGGGGGGATTTTAATCGGGATTGCATCACCGGTGTCGATACGGTGTTTCACGAGATTGGTTCGACCCAAGTCGGTACTGCGCCATGCAAATGCGTCTGAGTGGTTGCGCAACACGTCTTTGAGCCGCTTCAGTGTCTGCTCATCCGTGACTCTGTCGAGTGAGCGAATAAAGGCGTTAATGTACTTCTCACTCTCTAAGGTGTCCTCATAGGTTGTAGATGCTTCCAAAGCACCACTTCCACAGGGTTTTAACAAAAACTGTACAGTTATCGGTGATTAGTTGGCGCCTGTCCAGATCCAATCGACACTTCAACCGGCGTAACAGATCCATCCCAACAATAACAGCAAACGGAATTTTGTCCGCAACAATAAACTCCTGGGTGAAGCTCTGTTTCGCGACGTCAACTTGTGCGGTTAGGGATCCTCGAACGGACAACAATTCTCCATTGGCGGCAGTTAGTCGGCAGCGACAAGGTGCGTATACACGTTTTTGCTAGCTGGTTAGTCAAACTAGATCTGATTAGGCTCTTACATGCACCTGTGTCGATGAGACCTATCAATGGAACCCCTGATATCTGTAATTCTATTGCTAATGCTGAATCTGTGGTTGACGCACAAACAATGGCTGGTATAAAGTGTGAATGCGATCGGTGCCACTCACCTGGGCGTCCGTTATTGTAGCGAGGTAGACCACGATTCGGAATTGGTCGGCGGGGCCACCGAGAACCCTGTTGCGTTGGTCGCCATGAGCCTGAATATCTTTGCTGATAGTCAGGATGGCACGTTAACCGTTCCGTTGGCGCAAGTCTGGGGCGTCCATTTCCCCTCAAAGCGAAACACCCGGAAGTCGGCGTGGTCATCGCTTTGTCGACCTGCTCAAGTTGTTCGCCAATTCGTACGGCTGCATCCAACTCCTGCGGGGGGTGAAGAAGAAATTCGCGTTTAATTGATGGTGTTTGGATTCCTTCTAGGAGTTGTTCTAGTATTCGTTTATCACGGTCGCTTGATGACTCGCTCTCGTATGCGGTGTCGGCCATCTTTCGGAGTTCGCGCACGTAAGTCCTAATGCTCTCTCCGGGCCACTGGTACCGTGAGTGGAATTCCCTGCGTAGGGGTGCAGGCAATCCAGGAGGGTCCAGTAGGCGGCGCAAGGCAGTGAACGTCTCAGACGTGACTTCTGTTTCCAGAATCTTACTATCAGCAACGACATCAAAAGCATCCCCTGACAGTAAGCCGGCGAGCACTCTTGAATGTTGGTGGACTGGGAACTGCCGGAGGTAAAGCTGCACTTGTTTCTCCCATCTGGAGTACGACATCTCGGGAGTGAAACGCTCCGGAGTTGGGATTGCATGCATACAGACTGGCGAACTCGAGCCTGTTGACAACTTTTCCAAAGCATGGGGCAAAACATCCAGTGAAGCAGAAAATCTGGTAGTGGAGTCAACGATATCAGAATGGCCTTCGTCATCAGACTTGTTGTTCATTCTTGGCATGATCTTCATTAGACTAATGATGATGGATTCCTGATTCCTGTGACTTGGCAGGGTCGCCAATTTGTAGTACGCAAGCACGGAAGAACTCCAAGTGCTTGCGTAAATTACTGGCCTCGATTATCGTTCGTCGCCTCACTGCAGAACGGGAATCTCGGATTAGAGAAGAGCAGGCCGGTTTTCGCCCAGGACGTGGCTGTATAGACCATATATTTACTTTGCGGCAGGTGCTAGAGCAGCGCCACGCATACCGCAGACCGACAATAGCTGTGTTCCTCGATTTCAAGAGTGCGTTCGATTCAGTCGATCGATCGATTCTGTTCGAAATACTTGCGCGGAAAGGTGTTCCCACGAAATATGTGAACATCCTTCGTGCTCTATACTCGAACACTAGAGGCCGCGTCAGGGTCTATGGTGCCCTATCGGATAGCTTTTCGACTACAAGTGGCGTTCGACAGGGTTGCCCGATTTCCCCATTTTTGTTCAATTTCGTCGTGGATTCTATCATGGAGTGTTCCCTTGCGGAATCTCACGATGTAGGTGTTGAAGTGCTGCCTGGTGAACGGGTAGTTGATCTAGATTATGCGGACGATATCGTCTTGCTTTTCGACAATGTTGAGGCGGCACAATCAACCCTGAATAGCCTATCCAGAGTGGTCCCATTATTTGGTATGCACTTCGCACCTTCAAAATGCAAAGTGTTGCTGCAGGACCACCAGCCACTCGATGACCCCTTGACGCTTGCTAACGAGGAACTCGAGGTGGTTGATCAATTCACTTATCTTGGCAGCTGCATCAACAATGATGGGCGCATAGAAACTGACGTGAACTCACGCATTGCAAAGGCCAGAGCTGCCTTCTTGAACCTGCGGCATCTTTGGCGACAGAAGGGAGTTTCCCTCCGTCTGAAAGGCCGTGTATACAAGGCCACAGTGAGGGCCGTTCTGCTCTATGGTAGTGAAACTTGGCCCCTTCGGTCTAAAGATCTGAGGCGCCTTCAAGTCCTTGATCATCGTTGTTTGCGAAGCATTGCTGGTGTCGGATGGCACCAGCGTGTCCGCAACGATGATGTGCGTAGGCGAGTACTAGGGGGGGATGATCATGCTAGCTCCCTAGAACAACAGATAGCACTGAATAAGTTACGTTGGCTCGGGCACGTGCTACGTATGCCTGGTCACCGCTTACCTAGGAGGGCCTTGTTCAGTCTACCAGGTGTAGGATGGCGCAAGGCTCGAGGTGGACAGAAGTTGACTTGGCAGCGGGAAATGAAGTCACTGACGACCAAACTGGGTGCCGTTGGTCCGTCTCGCCTTCCGGGTTGGAGTCCACGTGACTCACCTTGTGCTTGGCTCGAGACTTTACAGGACATGGCTCG